TGCTGCAAGCATTGGCATGAAGGTCTAGGGGCTCAGGGAGAGAACATTTTTCTCTTCTTTATTTAAACAGACACATTCCCAGAAGAGTAACAATCCAAAGTTTACACTTCCAGTGAAATGCTGTCTGAGAAGTGCTGGAAAAAGAAAGGTGTGTGATAGAAAGTAGAGGTCTGAAAAGTAAGGTAGGGCAGAGCTAAATGCAAACAGAAGAGGAACTTCTACTACAGAAACTTAAAGTTTTCTTTTAAAATTAACTACAGCCTAAACTGGAAAAAAAATGGGGTGGGTTTAACTTTTTTTTAGAGTTCTACCATATGTTGATTTTAATAATGATTAAGGTGGCAGGAAATGAAACAATTACAAAGAAAACCAAAACAAAGCAAAACCAAGCAGGGAAAGCCCTTCCCCATTTTAAATAGGGAAATTGGCTGCCACAGGCTGCAAAAATAGTGCCATGCTATCCCTTGATGCTCTGCTCTTCTCCTGTACAGTTGTTGGGATTTTTTCGGGTGATGCTTACTTTTTCTTTTTCTTTTTCTTTTTCTTTTTCTTTTTCTTTTTCTTTTTCTTTTTCTTTTTCTTTTTTTCCCTTTTTCTTTTTCTTCTTGACTTAATGAAACATTTCCAGTCAGTGTGTTCCTCTACCCCTGCTACTGCTCAGTTCCAGCCCTAAGTTTCCTCTCTTTCCCTTTCCCTTTCCCTTTCCCTTTCCCTTTCCCTTTCCCTTTCCCTGTCATATGTGTAAATCAAGCCAGGTTGGTCAAAGGCAGGTGTTGTGGAAGCCCAACAGCTCCATTCGTGATGTACTGCCTGGCATCCACCTGGATGGCTTTCTAGGATATGTTCCCAAGAGCTCTGCAAGGAGCCCAGCAGCCAAGTCAAATCCCAGTATTTGGTTCAAATGGAACCTGTGAATTAAATCAAGGTGTGCCCCCATCCCTTTTCCAAGGGCTGTGCTGGGCACAGAGGCATTGGCTGCCCCATTTTCAAGGTTAGCTGTTAGTTCAGGGATTTTTTTAATTGCATCCCAGGGAGTTTTTCAAAGTTGGGTGCAGGAGAAGATGCCTTTTCCCTTTGCAGCCTCCTGGAGTGCTCTGCACTGGGGAGATGATGTTCCATTTGCTGCAGCTCCACAGAGCCCGTGGTGGCTGGCAGACTCCAGGCAGGAGTGATTGCCCTGGTGTTTTATTAGCTCCCAGAAAATATATAGCAGGGAAAGAGGCCATGCAGGCTCCAGCACAGTCTGCCTGAGCTCTGACCCCTCGGGCAAGAGGCTACATTGCTTTTACAGCCAGCACTTAACCTTGCTGCTAAGACTTGTCAACAAGGAGGCCAATTAGCAGCAGATAAGATGGTGGATGATATAATGCAGATGTCTGTCTGGTAGGAGCATAACTGATGTATTTTTAACACAACAAGGATCTTAAAACGTGGCTCTGCATAAATGATGCCATCCCCTCCACTGTAGAGAAGCCCTCTCAACAGTGGAGAGTTACAGAAAATTGTAGGTTTGTTGATTTAGTTTGGTTTGGCTTTTTTTTTTTCCCTTCCCACAAATTCTCTCTTAAAGCCTTGTTCTGCTAGGCTCATGATGACTATGGCATGTGTAGGATTGTAAGAAATAACTATGAAAAGATGGCAATTTTAAGCCATTTTTTAAAAACATAGATTAAAAATGTACATAGATTCAGAATGAAAATAGGGCACTTCTTTTCCTGAAAGATTGAGTACACAATTGCAGCTGTTTTCTGTAATCACACATGGATATTGGAATATTATCAGAAAATACAGACTAGGGGAATTTGAGCTCATTGATTAAAATCGTGCAGGTCTACAAGGCTGTTCTAGGTCCCTGCTGCAGAGGGCAGGGGCTCCTTATCCCATCTCAGCAAGTCCCACTGACACCCCTGTTTGGGTGAGCACAGAGTTTTCTGGCAGACTAAACCTACAGGGGCTGATTGCAGGCACCTTATTTTGGTTGAGACTGGCAGCCAGGATAATTCAGTGAGATAATTCAGGCCCCTCCCAGCTTATTTTAAGTAATTCAGTCTGGTTTTAGTGGTTTAGAACTTATTTTAACAATTAAGCCACTTCTTCATAGGATCACAGAATGGTTTGCACTGGAAGGGACCTTAAAGCCACCCAGTCCCAACCCTCCTGCCATGGACAGGGACACCTTCTGCTGGGCCAGATTGCTCAGAGTCCCCTCCAGGCTGGCCTGGAACATTTACAGGGATGGGGCATCCACAGCTGCTCTGGGCATGATTTGCATGATTGCCTTTTCATTGCTAGGATAACTATTTATGTCTAGTGCAAAAAACTCCACAGAGAGTCTCACTGTATATTTTCTATTACAGTGTGGGCAGGAAGAGAGGGAGACACCACATCTTCTTGAGACACACCATGACTTACCAACTTTGTCTCAAAGCTTTTCTTTCAGCTAAGGAGCCAGCAGCAGAAGAGGAGCAGTGAATTCCAACACCCAGCAACATGTACAAGGTACTGAAAAAGGCCCTGAAAATCAGTATTCACACCTCAGGAGAGTAGAAATAACTGAAAGGAGTTTTTTCAGTTGAGTAGACATTAACACTGCCCTAACTGCAGGAAAAAGGCAGTCCAGATATATTTAATGTTAACATTAATATTTAGGGTGGTTCTTATCTAATGAACACCCTAATATATAGGGTGATTCTTATCTAATGAACACCCAGATAATTTTCTTTCCTTGGTTAGTGTTTAAGCAGTCTAACTTCCTTTTAGGATGTTGGGTATCTTTTCTTGTTCAGTGGAGTCAATTGTATCTTTGCTTCTTGGAAATTTGTCTGCTCTTAGGGTTTCCTTCTTTAGTGTGCTCTGTGCATTTTAATTGTTCCAATAATCTCTGCTAAAAAAACCCAGTTTTTTCTAAAACGCTGATGAAATGAGTACGCAATATTTTTATAATTAAAAAGAAATTATTTTTGTGACAATGTTTTAGTGCACTGTGTTCTTTCATTCACTGCTTAGTTCATCTTCAAGGAAATTTCCTTGACTTAATTTGGTTTACTTCCAAGCAAGAGCAAGTGCACCAAAGTGCAGCAAGTGATCCTACTGCTTAAGGATCTGATTTGTTTGAAATGCTTGACTGAGCAGAGTGTGCAGAAGAGGAATTATCCCCCTTGCAGAACTGACCTGGAAGGCTGCCACAAGCACAGAGCCCAGAGAGTGAAGAAGTCCTGGAGCTGTCCTCAGATTATTTGCTGTATTTTCTCATCAGAAGTGAGAGACAGAGCTTTCCTTTTCAATTTCAAAATTGAAGATTAATATCATTGATAAGAAGAAAAAAAGTGAAGACATTATCTTCTTGTCTTGTAGGAGAATCCTTTACCCCTCCCTCCAAATCAACTCTAAATATATTTAAGGTGAAAAAAAAAAGAGAGAAAGGAAAACTAAAAGAAACCAGAATATAGCCAACCTTTTTAATTAGAGTATATTGTACTTCCAAACTGGATACACTAGAAATTGGCAATGCAACATAAGATGCAAAGAAATATACCAGTTACTGTCAAAATGACCCTGTACAGCCTTGTAATGCAAAAAGCTTTATACAATACAAATTTTTATTAATGTACACAAACCTTGACAGAATGATATTTGAACATAATACAACAAGTAAAAAAAAAAAAAAAGAAGAAAGAAAAAAGTGCTGAGAACTTTAACTGAATTACTGAATGGAAAAACACGCCAGCTTTCATTAAAGAATGCATAGTGAAAACCAGTATGAAATTACCTTTATGGTGGGGGGAATTTATCAGAACTGTTGGTCATTAATCAGTAGGGGGGACCTCTGGAGAACATTCCTGTCTTTAGTCTTGAACTGCAAACAAATTATTTTAATATGCAAGAGCTCTGATAAATAGGGTATTTTTTTTTTCTTAAAAAAATAAAAACCTCCTAACACACTTTTCCTTACAGAGAAAACTTCTATAACTTGCCAGAAAGGATGAATTTATCCTTTCCAAAGTGCTAAACAAATTTCCCAGGTACACTAAACATTGCCAGGTCAGATACTGGTGCAGTGGAACATGGTCAAAACACGTGGTGGTCGCATGCGGGCAGCTCGTTCTTGGAAGCTCCAGCCCCATTTAAACTGCCATTTGGATTAGGTACAGTGGCCTACAAATATAAAATTCCTCTTTCTTCTCCTTCCTGGACAGCTGTACCTTACCTGGAGTTGGTGTGAGAAACAAGCTTTTTGATTTGGGAGTGTTTGGTTTTCTGTGGTGTGGTCAGAGATGCGTGTGTTTTACAGAACTGGTAGAGCTGCTGGATACAGATTGTAGATTTCATGCTGTCAAGATAGCAACTATTTTATGCTCTGAGTACTTCCCAACACAGTATTTTGTATCTAGTCTGTGCTCCCAGGGAGGTGTGGCAGGAGCTCTGATGGAGTAAAGCATGGTGAGCAGGGCCCTGAGTTAGGTAAGTTGTTTACAGAGGTTTCCTCGCAGTTTGGAGCAGCTGGGTTCTCTGCACTGCATAGACAGACCTGCCAAGTGCTCATCAGAACCAGAACTGTCTGCTGGAATGTAAACAAATGGTGAGACTTCTCTGTCCTGTAATCAATAATGCCAAAGGATAACCTGCTATGGTTTTGGATATTTCCCCCTTGTAACTAGCTTCCAGTATGGTAACAGGAGCGCGCAGATTAGGATGGGATGTCCTCCATATACAGGAAGAATTTGGTCATGACAGTGGAGAATGTTTGGCCATCTCAGTACAAAACAAATGTAGGAATCTTGCAAATAGGTTAAAGTGATGCAAGTTTTGCATCCAGAAAGTCTTTCTACACAAGCTTCATTTAAGAACTAATGAAGACTGAGTTACATTTCTACTTGTCCATATGGCCAAGAGCCCTTGTGGACACGAAATGCCTTCCTGCACCGGGTCGTTGCTTTCCTGCTGGGGTGGTTGGATCCCCCCATCCCACAACAACCTGTAGAGGAAGTTCCTTCAGGGTGGGCAGATAGCATGAAAGATGTGACTCAGGGCACCTCCTACAGTGGCTTGGCCAAGGGACAGGGAGGGGACTGTGGCAAAAGCTAGGTCAGACACTTCTAATAGCTGTAAGAGACAGCCAGCTCCAAATCCAAGAGACACCACGGAAAACAGTAATTCAGTATGAAGGCATTCCTGTACATCACATGATCATTTTGAAAGGCTTCACATTTTATACTTCCAATTGTAAAACAGAGTGCTTTTAATCCCAGTCTTTCTTCCCACATATTAAGTTGTCTAAGGAACAGAAATCAATTAACGATCAGTTAGCTTCTCTTGCATTAAGATCGCTCTTGGCATTTTGAGATTAACAAAGGTTATACAACCAATCTGCATTTGCTTCTTCCTGCAATAAAGTGCTACATATAACATGTCATTTTAATGACCACAAGTAGGAGCATTAAATAAGTACAAAGTTAGCTTCCTAGCAGGACACACTCTATCTGCCATCAACAGAAAGGAATAAAGTATTACTGATGATGTGGAGGGGAGTGAGAGGACTGTCAAATTTGCAAGTACAATTGAAATACTGAGGGTATAAAAGAGAACTTTATGGTTCCAAAAGCATCTTTTTATAGCTTTATATTTCAAAGAAGTTACTGGTACCTTTTCAAATAAACAGTCTTATTAACTTCAGCCCACAATTTGTTTTTTTTCTTTTTTTTTTTTTTTTGCAAGTGAGAAACAAACTAGTGCAAGACTAAAGCACTGTGCAAAACTGCCTTTTTTTTTTAGTCTGAGTATTTATACCCAGAATTTATCCATACCCTTTTTTAAATCCCCTTGTTGGATTTTTTTTCCACCATAGAATTCTAGTTATACAAGTTGTTCCTGCAAAGTAAAAGGTAACCACTGCATAATACAGTATATATATAATATTTATATGCCCTTTTAAAACAAAAGATGTATGCTGTGGCCCAGAGGCAGATGTTTGTCACACCTGTGTAAGAGCTGAGAGTTGGGCCTGCTGTGTGGGTGTGTAGGCTGCACACACTGCATGTGTGTGGACATACACACTCTTTTCATTGTCATGCTCTCATCCTGCAGTGCTGAAAGCAACTTTTTTCCTCACCAGTTCTACCCCAAATCCTCAAACTATGACAACTGAATACAAGGCATCAAACAACTGAAGGAAGCTGCAAACAGCACAGAAATAATACACCGGTTCTCCCCTGCCCCGCCCCAAACATTGCTCCTGAGCAGCTTCACGGTTCAGGGGGAGGCAGGGAGCGAGAGTGTGGAAAGGGGAAAAGAAGGATGATTAAAGAAGCCAATCCAAGGGATGTGCAAAAGCAATGTCATGGCACACTACAGGCAGCCTCTCTTCCACGCACCCGCACACACACAAAGCCCAAAAATAAAATGCATCAACATGTCATCTTACAAGTGCTGATTGCCAATAAGGACACTCTTTTTTTTTTTTTTTCAACTTTACAAGACAAAATAGTTTCTTAGATAAAGAGTACTGGGAACATGCCTCTGAAGGTAGAAGTATGCAGTAGGTCACCTCTTGGAGATTTAATAAAGCAGCTTTCATGTCAATGCAATAAGTATACACACAGAGCCATTTGCTAAACCTTACTAATGATATAGTACAAGTGTTCGTTACCTTTGCAGCAATGTATAACCTGCTGGGTTCTTCGGGGGATTTTTGGTACAGAATGCAACTGCCCTCAGACAGTTTCTGCCCTTTCTGTTAGTCCAAGGTAGGCAAGGAAGGAGTGTTTAGGTGAAGAGGCACCTCCCGGCGCAGTCTGAGGTCTGGGTGGATGGAATGTGAGATCGTAGTGGTTTTTGGGGAAAAACATTGTTAAAGGGATAAGGTGGGCAAACTCTGAGTTCCAGTATTTATCGAAGCACAGGGAAGTGCCGTTGATGGCCAAGGCTTTCACTGCCAGGTTTGGCTCTGCCCCGCTGCCGTGTGCAGCCGACATCGCTACTGTTTGCAGAGCCTGGGAGGCAGACATGACTGAGAGGGGTGACAGAAGGTTCCTGGAGCCGATCGCTGGTAGGAGCGGACTGGCTTCCTTGGAGGTTGAATACTGGCCCTTCTTCTCCTCTTCAGAGCAGTCCCCGTTCTGGTGCTTCTTCACGTGGCGGCTGAAGACAAAAGGGTGGGTAGTCTTGAACAGGCACTCGTCACAGCTGAAGGTCTGGCGTGGAGCGTGCTTCAGTTTCTTGTGCAAGTTGAGATTGTCTTTGCGTTTGCAGCTGTAGCTGCACTGGTCACAGTGAAAAGGGCGCTCGCCGGTGTGGACGCGCACGTGCTCGATCAGCTTGTTGGCCGTCTTGGACAGGTAGCCACACTGGTCACACTTGTAATGGTTGCCAAGGCGGTGCTCTCGGATGTGCATCTCCAGCTCCAGCTGGTTGGCTTTCACTGTCTGGCAGATCCGGCACTTGTACTCCATCTTGTAGTGAGTCTTCAGGTGGCACTCCATGGCTGCGGGGCGGTTCGTGGAGTAGATGCAGAACGGGCACCTGGCAACACAGCAAGGAAGGGCGGGGACAAAGAAAAGAGGAGTCACTCAGCTGGCAGACCTGCCTTCCTTCCTGCTTCAGCCCTGGCACTCAGCCCCTTTCTGACCTACTAAGGAGGAGAAAAAGGCACTCAGTTCTCCCTGTGAAGCCTTTTTCCGATACCTGGTTCACCTTGACACGTCTCTACTTAAAGGAGGTTTGCCCATTTAATGGCATTCCTAGGAAAGCATTGATTCACTCTGGAGGAGCATCCCTTTAACCTTCTGGCTTACCTTGATGGGGTCTTCCCCCAAAGCAGGCCGGGGAGTGCAGGGTGGGTGACTGATGCACGGGTACTTTGTGTAACCATTCCTAGTGTTTGCACGGAGTCACTTGGGCCATTTTTTTCCATTAAGAAGTGGTTTAAAGTGAGTGTTTACAGATGAGTATGAAAACAGCTGTTTAAGTAAAGATGGAATAAACTTGTAATTCCACATGTACAGCAAAAGCTTAGGAATTCCCTTTTATGTGACCATGAACAATAAGCTTGCTGGGTATCCTGCTAGGAGCAGCTGAAAGCCAGGCTGTTGGAATGATTTGTAGGGACTCCCATTTCTGGGAGATGAGCTAGCCATGCTGAAAGGGGTGTGTGCTTGGCAGTGTTTGCCTACAGCTGCCTCTGCCATGGTGGAAATTGCTCCTGTGTGGGAACAGGATGTGGCTTCTTACTCACAGCAGCAAGCGTCCGGCCTGGGGTGGACATGGCAGAGGGCCTCACCCCAGTTCCTGAGCCAGGAGAGGCCAAGAAGGGTAGAGGAGGGAATCGTGGAAGTTTGGAAAGAAGCCTGAGCTGCATGCTGAACAAGCCTGGCCACCCACCAAACCCCAAACAAACCCTAAACAGTTGCTTGGTGCAGCTGGGAGGAAGTTGGTGGGGACACAGCTCCCTGCCAGGGGTCTCTGCTGTATTGAACCAAGCACGCACCTTCCACATGGAGCTGGTGAGCTCAGAGGGCCAGGCTGGGTAAAAACTTACAGCTAAGGCAGCTGGCTGCTGTCTTCCAGTACCCTTAGCTGCCACACATCTGCACTCACTGTCTAGCAGGTCTGCTAATTGTGTTCTGCCATTTTGGGTAATTTCTAAGCTGAGATTCTCTCTCTCTCCCTATGTGTGTTTTCCTTGCTACATCTGGTTGCACATACAGGTATAATAATGATCTACAAGTTAATCAAGAGATTTTTGAGGAAAGTGAGCAATAACAGGAGGACAAAGAGATACACAAACACCTGGACACATTTCCTGATGCACATCAAGTACTCTGATCCAGAGAGGGACCTGTCACTGAGGCTTCTAATGTGATTATCTCTTTCACCAGAGGACTTGGCTGTCAATGCACACATACCTCTCCTGGGCTGGGTGCTCTCTGGATCAGAATCTCAGATTTTGACCTGGAGCTGGAAGAATCATGTTTTTTTTCTCTTCCCCCACAGCAAACAGGAGACAGAAAAATACAATTTACTTAGATCTCTTCAGGCTCTTCTGGATGCCTTAAAAAAAAATAAATCAGAGCTTTTTCTTAGATGCAGCTTTCAAGGTACCTAATTATTACTTGAACTGGGCAGGAATATAGACTGAGAAACCCATTCTGTTGGGAAGACTTGAGTCATATCATGGTCATGGTTTTTCCTTGGTAAATAGAACAGATTTTACACAGCTTAAACCAAATGTGCATTAGACAACTGGTCTGTATTCCAAGGCAGACATCCCGTCGTTCTGACACACTGCTTGTTTCTCAATCTGGTCTTCTTTCCACATTCAGTCATCTCAGCTCAAGTGACCACAGATCCCAGTCTGTGGAACTACTGAGCTGCAGACCAGAGGCTGCCTGGCAAACAGGACCAGTTTTCCAAAGCTGCACGCGGTACCGTTGGACACAGTGCGCTCCTCGTGTCCCAGCCACAGCACATGGACACCAGCCTGAGCAGCAGGAGCTGGGAGCCCTGTGCTGAACCCCAGCTGGGCTCCCAGTGCTTCCAGCCTTTACTCCTGCAGCAGCTGGACCAGACAGAGGCCAGGGATGTGCCTCTTCCATAACATCACACTGCCTGCCCAGAGACAAGCGTTTGGCCCCAGCAGCCCCTCCTTCCCTCAGGGCTCAGAGTTTGACATAAGGGCACACTCATTCTCTAGAAACGCTGCTCTGCACCAAAAGACCCTAAAGATACCACCACAGCCAAAACCAAAGGGCTTTTCTCTTAAAAGACTGTATTACTTGTTACGTGTTAATTTATACAATAGTGATTGTTGTGGGGCATGCAAACAAAGCAGGAAGCATCCAAGTTATTCATTCTTGGAGAGAAATGAATTTGGATTTGAGTATACAAAGGCTATAACCTTTAAGGTTGTAACTTCATACCTAGAGGCTGTACAGGATTTGGTTTCTTTGAGCCAGGTGCAGAATAGAGCCTGTGCTGGGAGCTTCCTTTTGCTCTGATGCCTTGGAAAAAACCCTTATTTTGCCAAAAGCTCTTTGCAGAACTGCCTCATTCTCTGCAGGACCCATCACATACTGTCACCTCTTTGACTTGAATGGGGAAAGGAGCACAGTTTGTTAGAGCTCCTCTGCTGCTAAGTTACCAATCTGCTGTAATGATGCAAGCCTGAAGGACGGGCCTTGGGTCATCTAAACACAAGGAAGCCCCAAATCTGGATTATTAGTTAACCAACCCCTTTCTGACTGACTTCTTTGGTCCTATCCCCACAGTATTAAGGTGCTTAACACAGTAAAAGTTTGTGTACTTGCTTTCCTTACTTGAGCCCACCGGTGGGGACAGTGTGGCATTTCTTGTGCTCCAGTAATTGCTCAGGTGTCTTCATGAACTTGTGGCACACATCACACTCGAACATCCGTGTGATCAGGTGGATTTGCAGGTGACGCTCAAACATGTTTTTTGTTTTGCAGACAAAGTTACAGAAAACACATTCAAAGCCTGAAAAATAGAACAGCAGAACTTAGTCCTTACACTGTGGCCAGACTGACTGCATGGAGAGTGGGAGTTTGTATTTGTTAAACAAATTTTTTACCTTTCTCTGACTTCTCTTCAGTGTTCACTGAGGTCTGACTACCAGGCACGACAGAAATGACCAGTAGGTTGTTTGACCCCTTGGATTTTGGGGCTATATCTGCATCTTCTTTGCTGTTGGCAGAGTCACTCAGCGCTGACAGCGAAGATGAAGATGGACTGTTAGACTCACTGGGTGTCTTCCTCTCTTCAGCTGAAAAACAAAAAACAATAACTAGTTCAGCAGATTAGATGGAGTCTCCACGATTCTGTTTTAAACTTCAGGAAGTACTTATATTCAGAGTTAATTCAAAACAAGTCTGAAATTAATTGAGCTGATTAAAAAAAAAACATTTTGGGGCCTCTTTCCTTTTTATTAGTGTTTAACCACAGTACATCTCTCAGTTTATCCTGCAACAGAGTGCTTCTGTGATGGTAGAGGGAAGGGATCATACAATTCTACCTTATTACTGGACTGAAAAGAATCCCAAGAAAACACTTTGATTACTCCGAGTTCAAAAGCTTGTCACTCAGAAAGGGAACAGAATTTCTGTGGGTTTGAGAGGCAGAAACCAAAAGTACTTACTGGTCCAAGCTAAACTTCCCCCACCTTTCCATTTATGTGGGTCCAGTGAGTAAATTTGGGATGAAGGGCAAACAAGAATAATCTCCCTCACTGTACTGAAGAGCATCCCCCATAATCATTGCAGAGGTAACAGTGTGGTCTCAAGATTTACATGTTTTTATTAGAATCTCCTTCAAAGCTAATTGAAAAGCATGTTATTTAACTGGACCTAGAGATAGAGCTTCTTTATGGAAGAAAGAAAGAAAGCATCAGAACTTCCTTATGTGTGCAATAAATGTATGAAGTCCAAATCCCAAGTCCTATCACACACTAGAACTGAATAAGAGAGAGAGTTCCCATATGAGAACTGCCATGAGCCAATGAGGCAAGGATGGGCAAATTATTCCCTCCCACCCATGTCCTGGTGGGAGGGAATTATTTGCCCATCCATGAGAGCTGTGTTAAGAGGAGACTTCACTAAAACTTCAAATTCTCCATGTGATACAATCCCCTGATCAAGGCCTCTGCAAACAGCAGCACCTGTGTACTTAACTTTAAATTGAGTGGCACCTTTAAGATAAAAACATAGGAATGCACTAATGAAATCTGATGACCTGAGCTGCCAAAAGGGAGGATGACTGGATATCATACAGAAAGATTCACTGACCTTGGGGACAAGAGTAATACAAATGGAATGAAATTTAATAGCACAGAGAACAAGGTTACGACCTGAAGGGCCAGTAACAAGAATTTTTGCTACAAATGAGAAGTGCTTAGGTTGGAAACAGTCAAGGAAAACAAAAGGAGAATTGGAGCAGAACAAGGGATGAATATGAGCAATCAGTGTTGGGGAGCCTTCAAGGAAGGTAAATATGATCACAGAATGTTATTGTGTCACCTATTCCCAGTAGCTGTTGCTGGTTTGTATTGCCACCACTGCTTATTTCATTTCAGCATGTACAGCTGTGATTGCATATGTCCAGAACAGGGGTTCTAACAAGAACACGTGCAGTGAGGGATTGGTACAGCAGGAAAACTGTGTTCCATGTAGGAAAAGGCTCAGTGTACATTTGGAGGGCAGAGTGTTGTTCTCCAGAAATGTACTAAGGGAATAAATACTGTGGAAGGAGGGATGAAAGGTGGAGGGAGGAAAAGGAGGACTCCTGTTTCAGATAGAGGGCAGCTCTGGACAAGAACAATGTATGTGTACTCTGATTATCACTGATTATGACACACACTGAAAATTTTGAAAAGGTCCCTAATCTTTAATGCAAGAAGCTGCCTGTCTCCCAAAATAGTTCATTTAAAACAATGCTCCTTCTTTGAAGGCATATGCCATATCCTCACAAACAGCCCCTTTATGACCTGGCAACATCACAGGATAAGGAACTGGAGTCAAGTGACCCAGAAAATCCATTCTATTTTTTACTCTGTATTTGCCATATGTGTGAACATTTGGTTGAATCACCAGCTGAGGGGCTCACTTGGGCAGGGTGAAGGAAGAACAAGGGGGTTTTGCCTATCATCAAAAGACAAGTGGCAGTTTCAATCTTTTAGCCACAATAGGAAAATACAGCAGAGCACAGCTCACTTTTGAGCTCTGAAGCTTTTCACATAGCTATGGGTGGTGCTTCTCATTTGCCTTGAACTCCTCTTTATGAAGTGAAGTAGTGCTGAGAGCTATGCTGGCATAAAATCCCTTGAGAGCCTTCCAGTAGTTCATGTTTCTGTGGTTCCATTTAACTTATGTATCTGTGAACACAACTAATTGTATTCCTCTCTCCCCTCTTCTTCATCCCTCCTGTTTTCCCAATTTTATTCCTGGTAGGACAAGAAAAGCAATTTAGTGATGGAAAAGTTGTGCTGGATGCAATCAGGTTCCATATTGTAAATACAACTGTGAGTACTTTGTGGCAGCAAAAATGCTTCTGCCTGGTCTTATAAAAGAAATTAATTAAGAAGATTCCAATTTTCTTCTCCTTAAATTATGCCAGACTTCATTAGCTGGACTAAGCATATGGAGCTTGTTTGAAAACTGCTATTGCTCTTATCCTTGGCTATTATGTGAGCAGGACCAGGGAGCAAGCACGACTTGTTCTGCTATTTAATATAAAGTACATTTATGGGATTGCTGAATCACAGTGTCAACTAAACATCAGCATCAAATTCCAAACTGATGGACTGGGGGGGCAAACACAGAGAGGAGCAAAACTCAACAAAATGTTTATTTCAGACTTAGAGCCAGGTATGCACAATTAGCCCTCAAAGTCACCTTATCATCGCTCAAGTCAAAGCAGGATTTTGATGAAATAGTAAACCAGAAAAACAAATGAAATATTTGACTGACTCCAGCAGGAGAGGGGATTTGGGGGATAAGGGGAATAGGAAGAAGAAGGGCTAAGTAGTCCTTCATTTATTTCACTAAGCTTGAAAATTGATCTGCACTACCAGATTATTTGCCTGGCTGGAGTCCAATTCACTTCAACTTTGAGAGATCAGGCCTTAATTAGCAAGCATTTCAGTGAAAGCAGAGTGCTAATGGGAAGTGTGAAGGTTGCACCTAAAAAGCAAGGAAGAGAGAGATCACTGCAGCTGGGAGAGAGGGATCATCACCTGTGTGCTTGCTGTTGACATGAGCCTTCATATCTGCCTCTTCCATAGTGACAAAATCGCACGCCGTGCAGCAAATGGAGAACATCCACTGCTCCTTGTCCACGTGGAGGGACATATGACTGACAAACTGGACATTCATCTCTGTCTCAAACCCACACACATGGCAGCTGCAGGCAGAAGAGAGTTCAAGAGTAAAAGAAACATTAAAAACCAAATCACAAACAGAAACCTATTGCCCTTCCCCAAATTTGTAAGAGGAAACTCACACCACAGTTTTCTGCTCTTCCTCACTGCTCAGTGTTCACTGCGAAACTCTTTTGTCTGCTGAGCTGCCTTTGAACTGATGGCCATGCCAATGTGATTAAGGGCAGGCACAATGCAACAATCCTGTACATGCTATAATGATGCTAAATAATCATAAAGTTAATTAAAAACTACAGATTCCAGATGCTGTGCATCACCTAACCGATTCCTTTGGGCAATAAGAGGCACTGCAGCTTTGCCAAGATGTTTAGTACAGCTGATACACTGACAAACAGAGAGCTTGCTGCACACTCCAGGAGTGATTTTCAAGCCCTGGAATGGTTCCCATGCCAAACTGGGATCTTGTGCAAAACTGCCTGGCAGTTTCAGTGCAAGCAAGTAAAAATGGGTTCAAACATTTCTTATGCTTGACTGGAAAACAGCAGTCTTCAGCTATGCAAATAATTAGCAGGGATATAGATTTTGCAGCCAGCACATAAACAGGGTGATACTGAGAGGCTGTGGAAAGGACCCTTTAATTTAACTTTCTTTGCAGAGTTCTCCTCTTGCTTTGATTAGACCATTAACATTTAAAACAAGCCAGAAAGATTGGAAAAGGCATATACTCCAGGGCACTATTTTGCTTTCCCAAGGGGAAGCACTAGATAATCTAATCCAGCAGGTCTCATTTATTTCTTACTTCTATGATTTTGTAATTAAATCTGCTCTTGGCACTTTGACTAAAAGTAAGAGTGATTTGGTAATCTGCTTGGCCACTAGAGTGCACATCACAGTTTGCAGAGTGCACAACAGTGCATATAATAAGAAGAATGTCTAAATATCCATTTTATCTGGGCAATTCCTTTCAATTTTTCAGGCAAATTCTCCTGAAGGTTTTCTTTCTTTCACCATGTTGGTCACAGAATGTATATACCTCTAGCAAACAGAGGAAATGTGTAGATTGATATAACAATTCTTGATAACACTTTAAAGCTATTTGATTTCATGAATTTGGCTGAAGACAAGGGAACAATCAGAGGTGACTGGAAGCACCGGGCTTTAGATTCTCTGTGAATCCATGTACACAATGGGATGTTTCCAAACACAAAAATTAAAGGAACACTGCTTAAAAAGTTAAAGGGGCTTCTAAGAGCCCAGCTCCCTCACAAAGCCACTTTAAAAAACCAACCCCACAGCAAACCCCCGAGCCCTTCCCAACAGCCAGCCAAGTCCAACAGCATGAAGCAGCCAGCCAGGGTTCCCTGCTCATCCTAAGCCAGATCCGGGCAGGACAAATCCTACAGCCACGGCTCCAAGCCCGCAGCCCCAGAAGGGTGGCCCTGTCCCACGCCCTCAGCAGGCACACAGGGCAGTGCCTGGTGCCCAGCCCCTGGCTGGGGGCTCACCTGTAGTAGTAGGGGTGCTTCTTTCCATCGCTGCCCTCGGCCGTGACGGCGCTGACGATGTCCTCGGTGTCAGTGCTCACCAGCTTCACCGAGTGCACCGTCAGGTGCTGGTTCAGGTTAGCACGGCACTTTGCAGCATAGGGGCACAAGTGGCATTTGTATTTTCTCTCCTCTGAAAAAAGGAGCAGAGAGATGTCAGTGTATACCTCAGCCTGAAGGCAGCTGCTTTGAAAGCTGCCAGTAACCAAGCGTGCATTCCTTTGGGTTTCTCCAAGCGGCTTTCAGGATGAGGCACTTTGGAAGCTCAACTTTTAGAAGTTTATAGGAGTCCACAGCAATTACTCAGAAAAAAACCTCAACTAATTTGAAAGTAGTTTAGGGCAAGCTTTTTTAATTTGCTCTACCATTTGTAGTTGGATAATATAAAACTTTATAAACTGGAAAACTGGGGCAACTGCTGTTCTGGGAGCTGCAGCAAAGCCAGTGGAGAAACAGGTCAATAGTCTACAACCACTTCCTTTACCCAGCATCTTTTATTTGATTTTTGGACTTATTGTGGAGGTTGTCCATGCAATTGCTGCAGAAAGCTGATAGTTGATGATTTTTTATTAAAATCCGATGGTAGGAGGAAGGGGAACACTGTATATCATCAGTCCAGCTCTAAAAATGAGCTAATGAAAAAGCTCAAAGAACACTCAAAGAACAGTGGAAAAAAATAATTCATCATGAGTTTCTGATGCTTCACAATTTTAAATATTCCTCTTTTTTATTTTAAATTAATAATTTCTAGATCCTGGCAGCACAGGTTTCGTGCATGCGCCAGGCTGCATTGTGTGAAGGGCTGATTAAAATTACCAAACATTATGATTATGTCTGCTTTTAAAACCTTTTCCTTTGAGGGTTTGCTCCTCTAAAACTGAAATATAATGCTATAAGTGTGAGGGGAAAGGCATTCCATAAAGCAGCTTAGGACTAAGGAAACCCCACTGGACCAAGGAGCATCTGAGACTTTTCAGGATGGATCTGCTGGATGGCTCAACATACACTGGCATTATACCAATCAGGATTTCTCAGCACTACATGGGAAATTCTTGCTTCCAAGTGTCATTTTATGCAGTGCACCTCAGCAGGCTGGCAGAGTGCACCTTCCTTATAAAAACTCAGTTTGTCTCAGCTGATTTGAAGCAGATGCACTTCAAGAAAGTTGATATGGGGTAGAACAGCTCCTGTTCCTCTTAGAACTGTATGATGACAGCAAAGATGAATGAGTTATTCAATTATTTCAGTTTCACAGATCTAAAACACCAAAGCCAAATTTTTTGTTGTTCAGTGACACTTGAAAAGTTCATCAGGTGATATTTCTGTCCAAAAAACCTGCAAATCATCAAAAAAAAAAGGCTGTGCCTTCTCTTCAGAACTCCACTACCAAGCTTGGTATCAGTTGGTGTCTAGAGTCTGATCTGCTGGAACCTGGACAAACTTGAATCAACAGGAGAAATGTCATATAGGCTGCAAAGAAATCAAATGTTCACTCCCTCAGCCCACTCTGACATTGTGTCCATTGTGTCCTGCTCCTGTGCTTGGCTCTGCCCCATGTGAGCCAAGGATGGCTCACACACTCCTCTCCTTACCATCTTCTCCTCCCTGAAACAAACCCCAGGGAATTCCCAAGTGCTGTGACCAGCACAGGCAAGCCCTGCCTTACCTGTGTGCAGCGAGAGGTGCCGGGACAGAGTCTGCTGGCGCCCAAACACTTTTCCACACACGTCACAGGGAAACAGCTGGTCGTTAAATTTCCAAGATGGCAATCCATTTCCCACCTCCAGCCCCGGCTTTTCTGTTTCTGTGCCAAAAAACACAAAGGCATCTTCAGAACTCTGAAGACTTGCAGATTTCATTCAGTAGAGCCCTGTAGGCATCATATAAAATGCAGCCCTTTGGCGGTGTGCTGTGTGATCTGGCACATGAGTTCATTTAGAAAGGAAACTCCCATTGCTGGAAAGGAAATGAATCTTTCATACAGCAGCTTTCATACACACTCCAAAGCAGAATGCTGAGCCAAAGTGTTCTGGACATAGGCACAAGCAAGGAGTTGAACCAGGTTTTGTACAAAGAGAAAGTCAAGAGTGAGCAGGGCAAGCATAATCAGGGCAACCTAATTATGGTTTTGTGGAACAGCCACTCCTTTGGCTTTTTCAGTCACCCACCTTTGCCTGGTGCATGAAGAAGCCTGGTCTGAGATGGTCTATCTAACACTGGATTATTATTCAAAGCTGAATAAAGATTTTCAGATAATTTCTTTTCTCCTGAGGCAGGAATTCTTGCTACACAGAATGACAGAATCATTTAGGTAGGAAAAGACCTCTAAGATCAAGTCCACCCATTAACCTAGCACTGCCAGGTTCATCACTAAAGCCATGCTCTAAAGTGCCACATCACACACACACGAGCAGTGTGACTCTGAAGAGCAGAGGATTGCCCAGACAAACATTAAAACAAAAGGACACAGCACCCCAGTATATGGCTGACATCCAAGGTAGGCTCTACCCAGCACCACTCTCCTCTGGCACCAAAATCCCCAGCAGCTTAGAGGGCCATTGAAAAACTGTGACCCAGAGTGAGCTATTATCTTTTAATAAGTGGTTTTAATTGTTTCAGGAACAGACAGAGTCTGCAATACAGAAAAAAAGAAACCCCACAGAGCATAGAGCACAGATATGAAAGCACTTTGTAAGGAAGTTGAGAGAAAGGGACTGGGAATGAAGAAGAGGGAAAAAGGTTAAACAATGCTTCAAGAAGTTGAAAGCATGGCCAGTTTTGATTTGGACAGAATGGAGCAAAAAGCAGGTAGAGGCTGGGGACAGCAGTGTACTACTTAAAACAATAAGAGAAAGAGCATCAGCAAGTCTTGAGTGAAAAAATATCCTGTGCAAGAGTCCTGTTCCCTGAGGAGAAGGGACTCAGTAAGAGGTGCACAGACCTACAAGGGCACTTTTTAAACACAGTGAGGAGCTTGCTGTAATTGTTCTAGTTCCACTGCAAGGAAGGATGGCACTGGCAGAGCACCTTTCCCCAAACCAGCACCACCTCTGGGATCACTGCCCAGAACAAGCTCCCCCAGCACATGTGAACGTGAACATGCCCTGATGGAGGAAAACCACTTGGGCTGGCATTTCCAGCTAAATGGGGGGAGAGGAGCTGGGGACAGGGTTCAAAAACATTATAGTGAGCATAAGTCAACATGGTGGAGTTTGGTACAAACAGCAAAATCTTCATCCCATGAAACACTGAGGAATAAACACCCCCCTGCACTGGCAGCCCCTGACAGTCAGCTACCATGCAGATGTGAATACCATGGCTGAGAGAGTCTCTCCTTCAGAGAGAGATTTTCACACAACTCCACTGTGGTTTAGGCAAAGAGCTGTCAAATACTGTATTTAATTTAAGCAATAATAAAAACAATGCCTCATTTGGGGCAGAGAGTCCACACAGCAATCTCAGCAAATTTAGGGCTGGCCATACTTGCCAGCCATTTCTCCACTGCTGTTTCATTCTCATGTGACCCTGTAATATGTACAATATTCACAGCAGAGGAATTCTGAGCCATCTCTGAGTGCTGCATCCAACAAAACATTTTTCTTAAAAAAAATTCTAGTTAGAAAACAAGTTCTGCCTATTCAAAATACTCATTTGGTGAAATTAAAAAGGAAGACATCCCCCCTCCCCTAAGGGCTGTAAGTGACCCATAACCTCTAAGAACTTCAATAAAGAAGGATTCTTTTTCTTGCTACCCTTGAGTTCCAAACAATGAAAAAATCTGACTCTGCGGTAGCACTACAGATGTTTCAGCAGAGCTTTTGGAGTACATAATCAAAACAGTGCTTCAAATGAGGAAAATAGTAATAATTATAAGAGAAGGTCACAAGGGTGTAGGTTGCTTCAATATGGTCACAACAAAAAATTAATTGGGACATGTAGCAAACAAGCAGGCTCAATTAAGTAAATAAGTCTCTTAACAATTCATTTCAGTATTAGTCATCAGCCCTCTTTTATCTCTTAAGGAAAAGAAATATATCTTCTTCCCTATGAGGGATTGTCCTGGGAAGCTCATGGGAAGCTGGGAAAACAGCAGCTTTCTGATTATGTCAAACTGGTGACAGCCAGTCCCTTGCAAAGCAGCTGCATATTTTTCATTGATGCAAAAGAGGACACTGAGGTGTTTTGAAAGTCCTTCTGTTTACTTGAAAGATGCATCTGTGGAGTCATAACTCCAGTGCTTCCTCCTTCTGACTGAATCTTAGCTCTGCAGCAAAGTGCTTTTTCTATTCAGCAGCCTCTTAGTTTGTTCATGGCAAACCAGAGCTGGTCTCTTGCAACAGGAGCCTCAGCACTTTGTGAAAGATTTCCCAGCTCCAAGGAAAACCACCTATTTCCACCCATCCTACCCTCTGGGCAAGCTTTGGGGAAAAAGCATGCTGGAAACTGGAGCTCTGTGTCCAAGCACTGGTCCAAAAATCTTCCCAGAACATGCCTGGTACCTGACCTCACCAGGGAGGTCAGGTGAATCAACTTCTACATTCATTCCTTGGGCTCTGGCTCTAGTTAATTAATTAATTAATGCCAGGGAATGGCGTTTTCTGGGAAGTGAGCACAGGCCCAGTGACTCCAGGACCACAACACTGGGCTGTGCAGTGCTCTCTGTGCATGCCCAAGCCCTGCTCCCAGGCAGTCAGTATTGTCAGCCCTAAAGAACACAGGGGCCAGGAAGAAGATGGACTGAGACCAGCTAATGTTAAATAATAAATCACCATTGTGAAAGATGTCTCACAGAAATCCATTGTTCACCATGACACCCCCTATACTAAAATGAAAAGGAAAAAAAAAAAAAGAGAGGAAAAAAAAAGGACTTGATACAAGATTTCTGCTTTAAATGTCCAAAGCAAATTCCAAAACTCCTATGTCAGAAAGTTATACAAGACAAAGTTATACTGAAATTATTAAGCAATAGATTGCATTTCTCTGTGAGTTTTGGAGTTTAAAACAAAATATGCTCAGTAAAATGAAAGGCCTCCAACTTCTCCAGTACAACATTAAAAAGAAACAGAAGGATTAAAGCTCAAGATATAACACGGCTAGTGATAAAATTATTTTGAAATAACTTTGCATAGAACACTTAAGAGCTAAGAATCTTATGTAAAGTTAAGACTTAATAAATATAGTGAAATACATCTTTATGGACACCTTTCCTGCCCCCCTGCATCATCTGGTATTACTCCCCTTCTAGCAACAAGTCAGCTTCATGATGAGTAGCTGTGTAGAGCTGATCATCCAAGGAGCTTAGGAACTGCCACCATTTGTATCTGCTCTGAGATGAGGACATCAACTGCAGAAACATTGATCTGTGCCTCCTCTTCCCTTTCCAAACAGATTTAATTTCTGGCAAACAAAGCACTGCAGCTTAAAAGAGTCACCATTTTCCCCTTTCCTGAGGTGTTGGGCATACTTCTGAACATATGTGTATTTTCAGTTCTCACATTTAGTAAGTAACCTTTCCCTCTTCCTCTCCAACTGGTGATATGAATACACAGAGTGTGTTAACCACCCCTGCTGAGAAGTTCTTTATCCTGCTTTCTGTCAGGATATGCTTGCAGAGAGGACACCACAGCTGGTGGAAGCTGTAACTGAAGAAGAGGACAAGGCATGACCTGAATACAAAAGTGACTGTCTGGAGTCACCCAAACAGCCTTGTGACTGCTGGTGGCTATGAGGCTCAAGAACTCCCCAGGGACTGCCTTTGGACTCTCATGTTTTGATTATTTATTTACTTTGACATACTTGTCAATTACTGCTTCACAGTGGTTTATGCTACATTATGTTTTAATATGCAGCCCAGTGCCCTGCCCAACTTCATCTCTTTATACAAACAATGGAAAAAATGAAACCACTATTTGGGAGAGAAAGACAAGCCTAAGAAGACAAACAAAAAGTGTGCTGAGGTCTCATTCAAAGATAAATTCATGTTTATAACCTTTGCTGGTTACTGTCTGCTCTCACATCCTGTAACTCACTTAAAACAGCTGCTTCTCTGTTTTACCCTCACACCTCCACAGACCTTGGGAGCAACCAAATCCACAAGGGTAGATCCTTATGGTCAGATGGAATCCCATGGATACAAATAGACTGTTCTCTGCAATAAATATTCCATGTAGAGATGGGATTGAGAGGTGCTGATAAACCTTAACATGGAAGGTCAAAATTCCTTTTCTGTCCATTCTCCTGGAAATGTATGTAAGGGTTATATGTTGGGTTATTCAGACAGTTTGACACCACACAAATGGTCAAGGAGAAATCAGGCCAGTAATTTTGAAAATTAAATGAGCAGAAATCCTGTGAAAATAGAGTGGTTAGAGTGTGTTCAATAAATGCTGTTTGCAGGCCACCAAAGCAAAATTAATAAACTGACTAAGAAACAGTGGACAAGGTAACCAGGGTTCTGTGAGCTCATGGCAAGAAGATGAACACTCCTGTGCAATGTCCAACAGCAAGGCATCTCCCTTTGCTCAGAAGGGTTTGGGACACTAAACAATCATCTGGTGACTTTTGGCTGCTCCCAGCCCGAGGTGAACTGCTGCTTTTTCCTTTGGGATCTGTCAAGTAGCCCACATTTACCCAAGAGGTAAATCCACTGCATGCAGCTCTACAGGAATGTCAGACAAGCTTGCTCCATTAGTAAGGTTATTTCTGTTTGGTTATGTCTAAAAGACACAAACTTCAAGAAATTATTTATTCAGAAACAAGGTATTAAGGTCAGATAATCGTGCAAACATTGCTTTAAAAACATTT